GTATGTTTGTATGCATGTGTGTGTGTGTGCATATATGTTTGTATGTGTATGTCTGTATGTATGTTCGCACGTATGTATGTAAACTTTTCAAAGGCGCTGCTTAAGTCATGTGGTTTAATTCATAAAAGGATGAATCTTTAGTTTTTTACGAAAATGTTGACGAGTTAACTCAGGCTGGCGATGGTGGTGTGGTAAATCATTCCAAACTGTAGGACCAGCGATTGAAAAGTTTCTGTTTCCTACAACCGATTGTGTTTTTGGTAGCGACAGAAGAATCTGATCGTATCTGAGGACGTTGAGAAGGTGTGAACCCATGCAAACACTCCCCAGACAGACTGGTAACTGGGACTAAGACTATTCAAACATTTGAATACCAGGATGGCAATTTTGAATTTGATTCTTTGCCCAACAGTCAGCCAGTGCAGGTTCAATAGACTATGACTCACATGTTCAAACTTTAATCCACCAGTAAATATTTTAGTTGCTCGATTTTGAATTGACCGTAGCTGGCAGGCATATGATTTTGTTGGGAGTTCCATAGAATACACTATTACAGTAGTCTAGCTTAGAATAAATGAACGCATGAACTAGACATCAAGCGAATTTCTGATCTGTCTAAGCCTTCCTAGTTGAAATGAACATTCCTTGTTCAATTTTTTGACATGTATGTAGGCATGTATGTATGTATAAATGTATGTATGTGTGTGTGTATGTATGTATGTGTGTGTGCGTGTGTGCGTGCGTGTGTTTGCTGGTTCGTTTAGCAAGACCGCCCACAACGTCTTGAGACCGCGGGTAGCTGTGTATATTTGACGCCCATTCATAATTCTTACATGGAAAAGAATTATTATTATTATTATTGTGGTTGTTGTTGTTGTTATTATTATTGTTGTGTGTTTGTTGTTGTTATTTTTTTTCATTTCCTTTGTTACATGCATATTTACAGCCTTTTCTAATAATTTCGACATGGAAGAGTTATTATTATTAATCTTATTATTATTATTATTATTATGACGATGATGACGATGATGATGACGCCAATTTTCTCCATTTTTGTTTTCCGCGCTGAAATATTAATGGCAAGTCACTCGTATTTTTTTTTTTTTTTTGAAAACCGAAAAACGCCAAAACCAAAAACACAATATAAGCATTTTTTTTTTCTCTGACGTAAAAATTGACAGGAAGGAGTTTTGTTGATGCTTGTTTTTGTTATTATTATTATTATTATTACAATTATTATTATTATTATTATTTTCATATGCAATATTTTTAACTCGAGAGGAATGAAGCGAATTTAATAATTTAAAATTGAAATACGAAGCACGAGAACGAAAGATAGGGAGAGAAAAAGAGGTAGAGAGGGAAAATAATAGAGGTAGAGAGAGTAATAGAGATAGAAATAAAGACAAGACAGAAAAAGAGAGAGAGAGAGAGAGAGAAGAGAGATAGAGGGAGAGGGATAAAGATAGAAAGAAAGAAAGAAAGAAACAAGCAAACAGATTGATGGACAGATAGATTGAAAAAAGAATTAGTGAAGTTGAGAAATTGAAAGAGAATGAAAATGGCAACAAAAAGATGGAGAGAGAAAATAAAGAATAAAAACGACAGAAAGTAGTATTAGTAGTAGTAGCAGCAGTAGTAACTGCAGCAGCAACAGCAGCAACGTTGTAGTAGCAGCAACAATAGTAGTGACCGCAGTAGTAATAGTAGTAGTAGCAGCAACAAAAGTAGTAGTAGTAATAGTGTTGATAAATATCACTGGTCCCTTGAGTTGTACAAGCAACACACTTTCTCAATTAACAACATCTCAATCAATCACTGAAGTTGTGGCTGTAGTAGTAGTAGCAGCGCGGTAGTAGTAGCAGTAGTAGTAGTAGTAGTAGCAGTAGTAGTAATAGTAACAGTAGTAGTGTTAGTAGCAGAAACAGCTGCAGTAGTAGTATTTGCATTTAACTTTTTTCATTTTCGAAGCAACATTTAGGCAACAACAGCATAAACCATCATCATCACCATCATCATCACCATCATCATCACCATCATCATCACCATCATCATCACCATCATCATCACCATCATCATCACCATCATCATCATCATCATCATCATCATCATCAACATTTATTCCTTTTTAATGACCGCATTCAGCCATCAATCATTCCTGAAAGTCGCATTTATAAACACGAAACAACAACGACAACGATGATGATGATGATGATGATGACGGTGGTGGTGATGATGATGATGACGGTGGTGGTGATGATGATGATGACGGTGGTGGTGATGATGACGATGACGGTGGTGGTGATGATGATGATGACGGTGGTGGTGATGATGATGGCAATGTTGATGACAGTGATGGTGATGATCGTGACGTCAGAAAGTAAACAAACATCACGTGGAATGGATCTCTTGTTGATTGATAGTTTTAGGCTTTTAATTTGTGGATGGCTGGAAGGAAAGTAGGATGAGAAAATAAATGAAAAGATGGATGGACGGATGGGTAAAATGACTTAATTAGCTAGCCAGTGAATGAATGTACGAACGAATGGGTGATTGAATGAAGGAATGAATCAATAAGTAGATTGATGAATGAATAAATGAATGGATGGATGAATGAATGTATAAAGAATTTTATTACTAACAATAACGGTAATGAATGAATGAATGAATGAATGAATGAATGAATGAATGAATGAATGAATGAATGAATGAATGAACGAACGAACGAACGAACGAACGAACGAACGAACGAACGAACGAATGAATGAATGAATGAATGAATGAATGAATGAGTGAATGAAAAAACGAACGAATGAACGAATTAAATGAATGAAGGAAAGAAAGAATGAATAAATGAACAAACAAATGGATGAATGGCGAAAGACAGAAAGAAATAAAATTCCAAAAACATGATCGATAAACTTTCTGACATTTTATGCTCAAGCCAATAATCGTTGAATGACTTTTAAACGTTCTCTCTCACCATCATCATCATCACCACCACCATCATCACCACCATCATTCCCACCATCTCCACCACCACCGTCATCATCGTCATCATCATCATCGTCATCATCATCATCGTCGCCACAAGCGACAAAGAAAAGAGAAACAAAGAAATTTTTTCGTAGGTAAATTTTTTTAGGTAAACAATTTGCAGGTAAAAAAATGCACAATAAAATAATAATAGCAATAATAATAATAATAATAATAATAATAATAATAGCAATAATAATACTAATTGTAACAAGAAGAACAATAAAAAGACAAAAATAATAAGAATAACAACACTACCAGTGAATCAATTTCGTATAAAACACGAACCAATGTGGAATGATTTATATGTTCATATTCTTTATATCAGTTTATACCACACAAACAAACTCACACACAAACACACACACACACGCGCGCACACACACACGCATCAAATGAAGGAATGAAAAGGACAGATAGATAGACAGAACATTGCTTAATTGCATATATTATAAATGTGATATATACATATATATATATATATATATATATATAGTGATGAAAATCAAAGCATGTTCCGCATTAGTTTGTTTCCTGTCTAATTTTTAGATTTTTCTAACGGTAGATTGTAGATCATTGTCAAGTTTCTTGAGTACAAAACCAAAATTTTCATTAATTCTAAGAATGGTAGAACATTTAAGCATGGTAGAACAGAGAAACTTGCTTCGGTATTCCTATACCATCTTCGGTGTTCGAATTGTTGTACGTTGTGTATGTGGGCCAAATGCTCAAATATATACATATACACACAATATGTGATACGTATACAGTGTCTCTACTCTGTGGATTCATTGTTTATTTACTTAATGTGAATACTTAACAATTAGATTAAACTCCTTCTTGGGGAATACTTTCCATGAATTTAGAAACAGAGCCATCCTAGAAAATTACAACAGACAGAAGTGTCATACTGCAGAGAGTTGAAGACTGCGGTAACTAATTAAACGACTGTTAAGTATTCGCCTCGCCTGACGATCTACAGGTTGGGAAATCGAAAAATTAAACATGAAGCCAACTAACGCTGAACATACTGTGGTTTTCATCAATAATTGCATTTCTGACAGTCTTAATTCAATATATATATATATATATATATATATATATATATATATTTATTTATTTATTTAATTATACCAACCTGATAACTAAAGGAAACAAATATATATTTATATATATATGTTTATTTATGAAAATGTTGAAAAAAATATCTATACAAAAAGATTAATTTTGAAATTTTGCGATAATAACATTTACGGGATTGCATATACAATGTTTGTGAGAATTTAATGTTTTTCAAGATCCTCCTCATCATCATTGTCATCATCTATCGTCATCATTATCATCACTGTTATCATTATCATCATCTTCTTCTTCTTCTTCCTCATCTTTATCATCATCAACACCATCATCATCATCATCGTCGTGGTGGTGGTAGTTTGGCAAGATGTAGATAAATGACTTAAGCATGCATATACACGTTTCGGGTATGTTGTGTTGTAACATACATGGATGAATGTGTGCGTGTGTTTGTATGCCTGTTTGTTTGTATGAAGGTGTGTGTGCATTTCTTTGTATACATGTGCATGAGTTTGTATGTACGTATGTATGTATGTATGTATGTACGTATGTATGTATGTACGTATGTATGTACGTATGTATGTATGTATGTATGTATGTATGTATGTATGTATGTATGTATGTATGTATGTATGTATGTATGTATGTATGTATGTATGTATGTATGTATGTATGTATGTATGTAGCATTATATATTTTTAAAAAGAGCGCTATGTTAGCATAGTTTATTTTCACAAATGGCGCCAAACTTAGGAGAGTTTGCCACAAAATTTGAATAACAATATAGAAATGGCGCCAAAATTAGATCAGTTCGCGCCAAAATTTATCTATTTATAGAAATGGCGCCAAAATTACGTCATTTCGCGCCATTTGATGAAATTTTCTGGTTAAGGCCACGCAAAATTGACGCCGATCATCCTGTAAAATAGTTGATTGTAGGGTCTGTAGTAATCCCTCAGGTAGGTCAAAGTCATGGGGTCAACCTTTGGGTGTCTTCGACCTTTTGTCTTGCCCAGGCATTGCGTTTGGAATGACGATGACGTAGTTGGTTTTGATGATGATGAGGATGATGATAACGATTGTTTATACTGAGTTCTCGCATTAGTATTAGTAACATCGTCGTCGTTATTATCATCATAACTAGGAATACCACCACCATCATCATCATAATCATCATCGTCGTCATCATCATCATCATTAGTAGTAGTATCATCATCGTCGTCGTCATCATGAATAACATTATTGATAATCCAATCCCCAATGTGACCGTTATTTCTGGAAGCCTTTGAAGACGAATCAACTGATTTTTCACCCATGGCATCATCATCATCATTGCCATCACCATCATCATCATCTTCACTATAATCATCATCATCGTCAGCATTATTGTAATCATCGTCATCGTCGTCTTCGTCATTACCGTTATTACTACCAGTTTTTAAATCACTTATCACATCGCTATTACTACTTACTCCGCTGCTGCTGCTGCTGCCACTACTACTACTACTAATACTACTAATACTACCACTACTAATATTACTACTACTTCCGCTTGTTCTAACTCTCAAGCACGGGAATTTTTTAACCGGATCGAAGTAGAATGATTCCTGAGTTACTTGCCTTTCCAGTCCCAAAAAATCCTGCAGGAGAGCCAGTTCTGCGCCCGGATCGTTTATCAGTCTCTCTCCGTGTACTATGTGGATGTTCCTGGCCGGAAAATATTTCAGCCATCTTTTGAGGTAGTTCGAGTAGACGCCAATTCTTATAGCGCCCCAATTTTTTGCTATTTTTGGGTGCGGTGGGTGAACTTTTAGGGGCTGTTGAGAAATTCCGGCTGTGTTGGTGTGTTTTTGTTGAGTTTGTGGTTTTTGGGTGGTTTTGTGGTGAGATTTTGGGTTTGGTTTTAATCTTTCGTGGCTATGAAGAGGAGTGTTTGGTGTTAATTGTGTTGCGATGTTGAAGTTCGTTATGTCGTTTGCGATGTCTTGTAGCTGATGTTGCTGGCGTCTGTGAAGTTGTAGGCGTCTCTTTTGCAAATGTTGTTGCTGCTGCTCATTTTGAAGGTGACGTTGTTGTGGAAAGTAGTTTGTTGTTTGTTGAAGTTGAGAATTTTTTTGTTGCTGCTGTTGTTGTTGTTGCGGCTGTCGTTGATGATGATGACGTTGATGGTGATGTTGAGGGCAACAATGATTATGCGATTCAAGATGTTCTTCATTTTGATATGCTTCAATTTGTAATTGTTTTTGCTGCTCAGTCAAATTTAAATCCACCGACTGCGTAATTCTATCACCAACGACTTCATCACCACTTAGTTTGCCACCACTACCATCATTTCCATCTCTGAAACCCCCATTCTCACCGCCATGATTACCCCTAGACCCGCCCAAAAACACCATCTCTTCAAAACTCGGCATTTGTTTTTTTTTCGCCTTGGCTTGGGTGTAGTCAGAGATGGCCCTAGTTACTGGATCGCGGACCACAATGATGAGTTTCATTTTTGGGGACATGGTGAAAATTCGTTTCGGCACGTTTTTGGTGACGAAGTAGCTTGGCGTCTTCTCGATCGTCACCTGTCGCCAGCTGGCCTGCGGCATCTGCTGTCTGCGTTTTTAAAGTTTAAAATTTTTTTTAATAAAATGTAAATATATATTTAAAATGTTAAAATTATCAGTAAATAATTACACACCCATATATATGTACATATATAAACACATACAAACAAACATAAACACACATGCATAGACACACACACACACGCACACATCCAAACAGACTGACATATTTATTTACCTGAAAGAAAAACTCTACGGTATTGTGCCAGCCATTGGATGATGTATGGCTATAATTGCATTTTATTATCTACACATACATACATACATACATACATACATACATACATACATACATACATACATACATACATACATACAACACACATCTACGTACAATACACATACAAACATATACCCGCCCATCCATACATATATTCATACACGCATTCATTGTTACGTTAGTAGTCAAGAGGTTAAAAGGCTGGACACCATATGCAAAGGTCGTGGGTTCGAATACAGATTGATTCTGATTGATTTAAGTAGTTTTAGCGTCTATAGAAGTATATATATATATATATATATTAAATATATATATACTATTATATATATATATATATATATATTATATAGTCCGTATCATAAATTTTTCCATTATTTCATAACGATTCCGTGCTGCAACTTTTTTTGATACTGTTATTACCACTACTATTGCTACTGCTGCCGCTACTTCTTCTACTACTACTACTACTACTGGTGCTGCTGTTGCTACTACTGCTGCTGCCGCTACTTCTTCTGCTACTACTACTACTACTACTACTGCTGCTGTTGCTACTAC